TAGATAGATAGATAGATAGATAGATAGATAGATAGATAGATAGATGATAGATAGATAGATAGATAGATAGATAGATAGATAGATAGATAGATAGATAGAGACACATAAAATTTTAAGTCAATCTTGCATTCTGTTTACCTCATTGATTGTGCTGTGATCACAACTATATTCCTTTTCACTCTTACAGATATCAGTGATAAAAGCATATAAGATATTTTCTACTTCAAACTGCTTAATGATCCATTTTTTAATGCTGAGTGAATTTTTGTATTTTATATATTCCATAACACTTTTTAAAATGGTACAACACCTAATATTTTTAAATATTTGTTTTATTTTATTTTTAATTATATGTATTTTGTGTGTCTGTGCATGTGTGAGTATAGGTACCCGTAGAGTCCGTAAGAAGGTGTCCCACAAGGACCTCTGCAAGAGCTGTATGAGCTCTCACCTGCTGAACCATCTCTCCAGCCCCAAGTTTCTCAATATGTTTACAAAGAATAAAGTAGCTGCATTACTTCTGCTCTGGAATTTTAATTCTTAGTAAGAAAAAATTACTTTCTCTCTTACTGTTGATCTTTAAAAAGCAAGTATTTCCAATAGATAAGTCATAAGACACGAGAGCTAGAGAGATAGAAACAGTATTTTAAAACTCAAGATTGTCATGAAAAACTGTCTATACATAACCATGTCTTTTAAACTATTGTAATAATTTGCTTCTATTTGTGAGATTAGAAGCCTCATGAGATTTGTCTAGTCCATTTCCACTCCTCTGATTAAATGTTAGATGCAAACTGCCAATATGTTTTCTGACTTCTTTCACTTCTATCTTACTACAAAAAAAAAAGGCATTTCTGCCAGATATTATCAACTATAAGGTTGGTCATTTCTAGAAAATTACTTAACTCATTATTTATCATACACAACTATAAATCCTTCTGGACTCAATAGCTACTATGCTGGCTAGTTTTATGTCAACTCGACTCAAGCCAGAGTCATGTGAGAAGAAGGAACCTCAAATGAAAAAAAAAATGCCTTCATAAAATCTAACTATAGGCAAGCCTGTGGAATATTTTCTTGATCAACGGTTGATGTGGAAGGGCCCAGTCAATTGTGGGTG